TGATTTCCACATTGGTTTACGGTATATATATATATATATATATGTATACATAAAATGAAACATTTTTAACAATTAAGGGTTAAAATATGAATATATTGTATGTATTTATTTATTTAAAAATATAAAATAAAATTCTACTCTCTTGAATAAGGACAACCTTAGTCAGCTATATGTCCTCAGAATTAGTGTATATTTTATCAGGTGGTTATATTCATAATGTATTTTTTGTAATTATAAATTTATCTTTTATTTCTTCCTGTTTTGGACATTTGTAATACCCTATTTAACCTTTATTTATACAAGTTAATCCCATTGAGCTTCGGGGACTCGTTCACAATAAAGACTTGAATTTTAACAAAGAGTGATGACAACAAGAACAACAGACAATCATAAATGATGCACACAGTTTTTAAAAAAAGTTAACAAGTGGAAATAAAATGGTAATTTAAAGGAAAAGCAGCGAAAAACAGTGAAGAATACTAAAAACCTGTTTTGTTCACAAAAGCAGCAAGCAAATAAAAATGTTTTTATAATAATTTGAAGCTTTAAAATTGATAAAGCTTGTTTCTAGTAAACACTTTCTTCAGTGCATCCCTTCAAATTAAAAATATACATTTAACATTTTTAGGGAAAAGGATAAAAAGCCTCACAGTTTACGACATTCCACGTGTCTGATTATAACACGATAACGCTGGAAAGATCCAAATCACCATTTTAAAACAACAAAATAGAACATTTACTTAAATTATTTATAACCTCGTGTCATGGAGGCACCACTGCTACAACAACTATACAGCCCAGTATAATGACAGGTCATCCTGAACTATGTCAAACGGTGCAGTCTGGAGGCGTTCACTCCGGTAGTTTTCTGGATTTATTGAGGCGTAGTTCTGAAACGTGGGTACGCACTCAATGTAAACAAAGCACCTTTGTCTGCAAACGACTCTGAGCATGCAATGCAGCACATTTCTTCCATGGACGTCACCTTTGTTCAACTATTTTCACTCACTTTGGCTGTTTCTGTACATTTTGCTTTCATTTGTTAAAGGACACAATAAGTTAACAAATTGCATTTTGTTTCATACTTTTCTTTGCTAAACTGTTTGCTATACAAATAAAGTTAATTTGAGTCTGCCGAATCAAGTTTTTCCCGGCCTAGTATGTGTTTAATTTTTTGATTCATGAGTTGATTTCTACATTTCCGAGTATTATTCAGTTCTGACCGTTTGCTTATTTTAGACTCAAAGTGCTCGTTGAATCCTTTCACGCATGAGGCACCTGGACCACATCTCTGTCTGCTCCAAACATCCAAGATATGTTTTAATTCAGCTGCTCCTTTCACACAAAACCAATTACCGATACTTGTATTCCACTTTAGTCATCTTCAGTTATTTATTACACTTGACTACGGAATTACAGCAGTTTAAAGATAAAAAAGTGTCTTTTTGTAGTTGTTGTTAATTACACTAAATTATTTTCCTGCCTTTATCAAAATGTATGCAGGCATGAAGAAGAAAATTTAATTACCGTATTTTCCCGTGTATAAGTCGCAGGTTTTTTTTGCATAGATTTTTCAGTCCTGCGACTTATACACCAGAAAATACGGTAATTTTGCAGGAAATAAAAGAAAACTAGATGGAGGTCTGGACTTTTTATAAAAGTGTGTGCTGTAAAGGAGCGATGCACTAGTTGTCTACATATAATTAAAAAAAAGGCCTCAATTCCAAAAAACATGTCAAATATAAAAACAAAACCCATATTTTACAATAGTTGATCCAACTTAAATGAATTGTTTCAATTGGTAACAATTAAATTAAGTTCATTCAATTAATTTATTAAGTTTGTTTAACTTGACAAATTTAAGTCAGTTTTATTCAAACCAATTACTTTATTTCATATAAAGAATTAAAATCCTTCCGACTTAATTTTATGGAAAGTCAACTCAAAGTTTTAAGTTGTTCCAAATCAAAGAACTGAACTATCCAAAAGTAAATAATCACCGACGTTTACTTTAAAAAAAAAAAAAAAAATACAGCTCGAACGTAAATCAAATTGCGTGTGTGTTTTAGCATATTTTAGTTTTTCCAGTAAGAGTACTTTCATGGTAATCAGAAATTCAAGTTGGCTAAAACAAGAAATCTTTGTTGCACAAATGAAACATTTTAAGTTTTATTGTAGAAACATCTCACATTCTTGAACAGTTTTGCTCAACAGCTCCTCAAACTTTATAGAACAAGTCAATAACAAAAAAAAAAAAGATCAACTCCCAAAATGAAGTGCGCATCAAAAGCTCATGAATAAAAACCCAAATACACATTTTACTCTGTGCATTACTCATGTGCTCAATGTCCAAAAGAAGTTTAAAAACCTTGAGCTTCCAAAACATGGAGCTCTTCTGTTCAGTCAAGACAGAAGACAATCTGTCCCGTGGACAGACTGAGCTCTGCGTCTTCCAAACAAACTGTGGACTTTGGGAGCTGCACATCTCAAGTTGCATGAAGATTTTTTTTTTAAAGAAAACTTAATTTAGCAAAAACAAGTACAAACAATTCACAATAGTGTAACTCTAAAAAGGGCAAAGCAGAGGCAGACTTCGATATGAACAAAAAGGAAATAAAATAAGAAACTACAACAAGGGGGGTATATGTTTTAGGATTAAAAGTGGGCAATCCCATTAACATTTCATACAGGTCTTTATGCGTTTCAATAAATTTCAGAGATTTCAAATATAATTGAAATTCAGATTTAAAAAAAAGTTAAAAACGGGGGATGATTTTAGCGCTCTCTGTTCACGAATAAAGAATATTGCCAGACAAAATATCAGATTACAACCGAGTTCCTTTTTATTTTTTTTTTGGTTATTCAATAATACTCCAAATGTTACCATGTCTCTGGAAATAGATTCAGGAAGTGTAACTTTCAGTGTGATCCATCTTTCTAAGTGATTCCAAAATATTTTCAGTTTGTTTAGTGTCCCAACTTTTTTTGGAATACGGTTTGTATAACAACTAATATACCTCCAAATTCTCTGAACAAAAATGTCACACTTCCAGAATTTGGAGGTGTTGGATTGTATACCTGGATTATTGAGCATGGACTTTGTTGGTCCTTGAGATCTTCTATGCAGGTTCTTCATCAGGAGGTGGTGGATCAGTCTTAATCATGGTTTTATTATCAGTTGACTTTTCCATCACCTGCCTATTGTCTTAGATGTAGCTACATAGATATTTTTAAATGTTTAATCACTGGATGTACATCTACAACTGCTTAACTTATTCGATCAACCTGATTCAGCATGACCCCCACAGATAACAGCCATTAGCATGCACTTAATCAACTTTAGAATGCATAACATGTCTAAAACTAAATCAAATGATCAAATATTGATGTCAATTTTGGTGAATGTCTTTTAGCACAACTCTAATTCCACATTACTTACCGTTACATGAAATTGAAAATCACACACATCTTGTAACAGCAGTTATTTTTGTTTTGTTCCGCCACTAGATGTCGCTGTGGTACAGTTCATGCCATGTGCTGGTGAAGATTCTCAGTCATCCAGGACATGATCAATTCAAAAAACGTTCAATACAAAAACAACTGGACTTTATTTGTAACAGAACACGTTTCGCTCCTCATCCGAGGAGCTTTCTCAATTCAAAGAGCAGAGAGTGAGGGGTTCAGGTTAAGAAATGAACTGGGAAAGCTCCTCGGATGACAACATTTTTCATAGCACTTATGAGAGGAAAGAATTAATATTATTCGCTATTAAGAGAAAGTAAACCAGAAAAATAACAACCTTAAATTAACAAAGTCCATGCTCAATAATCCAGGTATAAAATCAGACAGGTCATCTGGACAGTGTCGCCTTCGATCCGGCCGGAAGGCTTCAACCTTAAATTAAGACGAGAAGACGTCACTTCCGGTTTCAAAAAGATCGTTAAAACGGTTAATGTAAAGGACCTGATGTTGAGCCGATTAAGAGGAGTTAAGAAGAAAAATAAGCGTTTTCAAGTCTACCGGTTTGTCCACTTGCAGGCCAGAATGGTATGTTTGTTCCATGTTGTGTGAATTGTGTTTTTTGTATAAGCTAACTAGGACGAGACAGCCCCTGGTTTACTCCAGAGCTAGCTAACCTGCTGCACAGGAGAGACCAGCTTTGGGCCGCAGCGACAACATCTGGCTCAGACACTGATTGGTTGAGTTTTCGGCAGATGAGGAATAAATGTACAACTTACATCAAAGCCGCAAAACGTAACTATTTCTTATCTCAGACCTCCAAAAAGCTAAATGACCCTAAAAGATTCTGGAAAACCATCAAATCTCTCTCAGGCAGCTCCCAATCATCTGACCTCCCATCACAACTTCTCGTTAACTCTGTTCCTGTGTCTAATAAGCACGAGATCCTGAACTGTTTCAACAAACTTTTTGTCGCTTGTAGTTCTTGATTTGACACAGTTACTAATGGAAAATCAGCCACTTCCCCAAAAAGCCAAACTTCTACAAACCAAATCTCCTACAAGTCAATCTTCAGTAAATCACATCTTTTCTCTTTCCCCGTCCTCAGTCAGTGAGGTTAATAAATCGTTACAAGGTCTAGACTCTAAAAAAAAGCTGCAGGACCAGATGAACTTCCACCTTATTTCTTAAGGCTGGCCACTCATATCATCACAGTACCAGTGTCCCACATCTTCAATCTCTCCATAAGTCAAAACTCCATTCCAGACACTTAGAAAACAGCCTTTGTTCTTCCTTTGCTGAAGGGAGGTGACCCCACCTCACTGAACAACTATTGACCAATTTCTAAACTGCATTTTAGCCAAGGTTCTAGGAAAAACTGATAAACTCTCACATCAAAAAGTATTTTGACTCATTTAACATCTTACCTCCACATCAATCTGGTTTCAGGAAACACAGCACGATGACTGCTTCACTGAAGGTTCTTAATGACGTTGTTGAAGCACTGGATGTTAAGGATTATTGTGCTGCACTTTTCTTAGACCTGTCTAAACATTCTGACACTGGATCATAACATCTTGTGTCATAAACTCTCAGAAATTGGTTTCTCAGATCACACCATTGGTTGGTTCTCTAACTATCTTTTCAGATCGGAGGCAATGTGTTCAACATAATGGTACTTCCTCCAGTTATTTAACAGTCAACAATGGTGTACCACAAGGCTCAGCCTTAGGATCCACTCTCTTTACAATCTACATAGGTAATGTAGGTCAGAGCATCCCTGATGCATCCATACATTTCTATGCTGATGACACAGTTGTTTATTTTCGAGCTAAATCAGTTGCTAAGGCTTTCCAGCGTTTGCAATCCGCCTATGACATCATCCAGTCAGATTTGCTCCATCTCAAACTTGTCCTAAATGCCGACAAAACCAAATGGATGCTTTTTTCAAACAGGAAGTCAGTCCCAGCAGGTCTTCCTCTGATTTTATCCTCAAATGGTGTCCCTATTGAGTTTTTCGATTTCTATAAATATTTGGGTATCTTGGTCGACTCGCATCTCTCTTTTAAGCTCCATGTGGAAAACCTAATAAGGAAACTGAAAGTTAAATTGAGTTTCTTTTTCAGAAACGGATCCTGTATAACTCTGAATGCTAGAAAACGCCTTGTATCTGTGACTTTCCTTCCCTCCACTGACTATGGTGACATTATCTACATGAACGCTCCTACAAGCACCTTGTAGATGTTGGATGCTGTCTATCACGATGCATTAACTTTCGTAACTGGCTGTGATTATCGTACCCACCACTGCACCCTGTATTCACTGGTTAACTGGTCATCATTAACTTCACGCAGACTCTCTCACTGGTACATTTTCATCTTTAAATCACTTCTTGGTCTGCTGCCTTCATACATCTCCTACATGTCTGCGTGAGTGCAGCTACAGCATGCGCTCTCAGGACATTCAGTGTTTCCTCATTGCAGACTGAACTAGGAAAAAGGTCCTTCTCCTACGCCACTCCTGTTTCCTGAAACATCTTGCAAAATGATCTGAAGCTCTCGACCTGGACCTCTCTAAGTGGCTTTAAACATCTGCTAAGTTCCTGGCAAACCCAACACAGACATGTTCCTGTTTTTAGTTTTCTACATCGCCTTATAGCAGTTTTTTTAATTATTTTCGCTACTCTTCCTTTTGGTTGCTATTTGTTTTGTTTTGTAAAAAAAAAATAAAAATTTTAATTTTGTATTCCTCTTTTTTGACTGTCTATTGTTGTTGTTGTTACTCACTGTTGTCATCACTCTTTGTTAAGAAATGAGATCTCTTGTAAATGACTCCCCGAGGCTCATTGGAATTAACCTGTCTAAATAAAGGTTGAATGAATGAAAAGTAAGATAATATTTTGTATATCATCTGTGTGTTATCAGTTCTGGTGTACTCATGGTGAAAAGTGATCTGAAGACCAAAGATACAAGACCACAGTAAACATCAGTTTAAAGAACCCTCGTGTCTCTCGAGTGTGTGAACAAACCGGCGAAAATGTAAGTAAATATTGTAAATTGTAAAAAAATAAATAAATTGTAAGTTGTGTGTTTTTAGTTAGCATTTTCAGTTAGCACTCAAGCTAACTGAACTCGCAGAGTGGTTGCCTAGCAACAGCATCAGTTGGAGAGCGCTGTAAAGAAGTCAAACGTTTTTAGGCTCTGCTCCAGTTTATCTGTAACTGTCAACAGAAACTGTTTAGAAGAAACTGAGCAACATAAAACGATCATATAGACTTGATTTCAGCCCAAACATCAACTGCAGGTATCAGAGTCAGAGTCAGAGATTCTTTATTGTCATTTGCACCTCATGTGGTACATGTGGTGGAGCGACATTATGTACACGGGGTCCCAGTTACATCCAAAAATAAAATGTAAAAGAAAAACAGTAATAAGATCTAAGATATGAACTAAGAAAAACATAAACTAAAAATACACCAAGCACTAATAGCATAAGAACGTTACGTTGAACAGCAGCACGAACATGAGTTTGTGTGAACAGATGAGCACACATGAACACATAACATGGAACAGATCAGCAGCAGCATGATGTGATTTTTCACTAGGTTTGTATTTTATTGTGGTTGTTTTTTCTCCTGTCACCGTAGTTATAGTTTTCCACTAGCAAAAATGTTTAGCATAATAAAATTTGTAGCTTTAACTGATGAAACAACGAGGAAGAGGTCTGCACCTTTAGACATTCAAAGTGTTCAATTTAATTTTTAAAAGGAAACAACTGAGAAGTGAAACTTCTGTCCTCACAGCTTCATCAACACCAACTGGATGACAGAGATCTCTCAACCAGTAGCAACTGTCCAGATGGAAACAGCCACAGGTAGAGAGGATGGTGGAGCAGCAGAAACTAGAAGAAACCAAGATCTGAATTCCTATGAAGGTAATGTGAACTCTTCAAAGACTGAAGTCAGTGATGATGATGATGAAGCTAAACCATTACTTTCACATCTTTTATCAACACCAAGAGGAAGACCGATGTAGTCCAATCAGCAGCTCAGCTGACCAGAGAGAAGCAGCATCCAATGAAGAGGAGGGTAAAACAGAAACTACCATGATCTTACATCTGAATAAGTATGAAGACAATTCCAACTCTCCAGAGACTGAAGTCAATGAGGATGATGTAGAGGATGATGATAGGAACAATTCTGATTCCCAGCTAAAACATATATCAGACTCTGGTTCGATAACTGAAGATGGTGAGAAAGACTTGAAGGACAGCAGTGTTTTCAAGTCGGGATCAAAAACCATCAACAGACCTTTTAGCTGCTCTCATTGTGGTAAGCTGTTCATCAACAACTTGTCTCTTCAGAGACACATAAAAAGTAATTCAAGACAGAAGTCTTCAAATTGTTTGGTTACTAAGAAAGATCTAAAAGTGGAAAAAAATGTACAGTCATGCAGTAAAAATGAGACCATACTGAATCAATTCGGATGTGACGGATGTGGCAAAAGATTTACCACAAAAGCACATTTAAAAACGCACATGCAAATTCACACAGGAGAGAAACCATTTGCTTGTGAACTTTGTGGACAAAGATTTTGCCAAAAGGCCAATTTAAACACACACATGAGAATTCACACAGGAGAGAAACCATTTGCTTGTGAACTTTGTGGACAAAGCTTTTGTCAACAGTCCAATTTAAACAGACACATGAGAATCCACACAGGACACAAACCATTTGCTTGCAAATTTTGTGGACAAATATTTAGCCTAAAAAACACTCTAAACAGACACGTAAGCATCCACACAGGACACAAACCATTTGCTTGCGAACTTTGTGGACAAAGCTTTAGCCAATGGACCACTCTAAACAGACACATGAGAATCCACACAGGACACAAACCATTTGCTTGTGAACTTTGTGGAAAAAGCTTTAGACAACAGTTCACTCTAAATACACACATGACAATCCACACAGGACAGAAACCATTTGCTTGTGAACTTTGTGGACAAAGATTTAGCCATCAGGTCACTCTAAACACACACATGAGAATCCACTCAGGACAGAAACCATTTGCTTGTGAACTTTGTGGACAAAGATTTAGCCATCAGTCCAATTTAAATAGACACATGAGAATCCACACAGGACACAAACCATTTGCTTGCCAACTTTGTGGACAAAGATTTAGACAAGAGTCCAATTTAAACACGCACATGAGAATTCACACAGGACACAAACCATTTGTTTGCGAACTTTGTGGACAAAGCTTTAGCCATCAGTCCAATTTAAATAGACACATGAGAATCCACACAGGACACAAACCATTTGCTTGCCAACTTTGTGGACAAAGATTTAGCCGTGAAACAAATCTAAACAGCCACATGAAAATCCACACAGAAAACGGAGAGGTGGTTTTCAATGACTCCTAAAACACACATTAGAAACTACACGAGGGACAAATGCTGACTGTTAAATATTAAGAAAAGTCCTGAAGACTTGTAAGAGTTCACATGTATTCAACACTGAAAGATCCCAGGGTTTGTTGGTAACAATATGAGTACTGAAGAGGTATGCTATCAAGAAATGAAACGGTTTTGATTTACATGTATATATTTCAGTTTTTTCTGTGATTAGTTTTTCCATTGTGTTTGTTTGTTTTCTTTTAAAAGAATTGTCAAAACTACTGTCACTACAGACCTCTAGCTTTACAGCCAGTTGATCTAGGTTTTATCTGAATGAATACTTGGCATTGTTGCAGCCAAATGTTAAATGGTGTAAAGATTGAATACATTAATAGTTTATGTTCAAATGTTTGAATAACTTTCTGAAAAACGTTATACGTTTTAATGTCGGAAATAATATACACAAAATGTATTTTAGTTCATTTTGTTCTGATTTAAATGTGTTTTTTATTTATTAGGACAATCTTTATCTGACAACAGTAGTTGCGGAAATATATAAACAAAATAAAAACAAGTTATAAAAAAGATGTCAGAATCAAACTTACGGTTTTGTTTAAATGTTGCTGTTAATAGATCACATGTTGAGACTTGAAGCCATCCGAACAGTGCGGCTAGTTAAGACTAGACACTATTTTAGAGCAAATAAGTGACGTTACTTCAACCTAAACCACAGACAGTGAATAAATGTTTCAAATTTAAGGTAGAAAATGTATTATTTATAACAGACTTGATAAGCTCATCAAGAGAGCTGGTTCAGTTCTGGGAGTGGAAATGCAGTCTCTGACAGAGGTGTCTGAGCAGAGGAGCTGAGGAGACTACTCCAGATCCTGAACATCATGTCACATACCCTGCATGACACCCTGGACTCACCGCAGCACTTTCAGTCGTAGACTGAGACCACCGAGGTGCTCCACAGAACACCACAGGAAGTCCTTCCTCCTGTGGCTATCAAACTTTTCAACTCCTCCCCCTTTCTGCACGTAGAACAATAAATTTAATCCTGCACTACAATAAACTCTTTAATGTTTCTGTCTGCACCTGACCTGTTTAGAACTTGTTTTTTTTTTTTTTATATTCTTTTTTTTTTTTTTTTTTTTCTCTATTATTTTTATATTCTCTGCTATTTTTATTTATTTTTTATATCTTGTGTGATTTCTTGTGTATGTGCCTTTGTACTGAAACTCTGGCACAACAATTTCCTGCAGGATCAGTAAAGTTCTATCTTTTCTTTACACCATCTATTAAATGCTAGCTTGTGGTGGGTACTACTATCACGTTTGCTTAGGCTTATATATTCTGGGAGCCATTAAATAAGAGAAAACTAACTCGTAGGCATTTAACCATTCTTACCAAAATGAACCTTTTCATTGTAAAAATCATTGACGTTGTAATTCACTTACTGTTTACAGTAGTCCCTCATTTATTGCAGGGTTTCCGTTCTCATCCCCCACTGTGATCAGTGAAAAACCACGAAGTAGGAATAGTAGTACAATTAGTAATTACTCGTTTGAGTATTTAATATATATATATATATATATATATATATATATGTGTATATATATGTGTATATACATATAAAAAATAAAAAATATATATATATATACACACACGTGTGTGTGATTTTTTTGTTAATTGAACCCATAAAAGTAAAGTCGTCTTCACTAAACTGAAATAATTACCTGGTAAGTTAATGTAAATAAGTCTCTAAGATTACAGCCCAAATACTCTTTTTAAAGAGACACATTAAACATATCAAGTGTTAAACTGAGAAATTGTACCACTTTGGCAACAAAAAGCGATAAACTAAGTGAAACGAATAAGAAACAGCTGGAGGAGCTTTTTGTAGCCAATTGGTTACGGTAATTGGCAACAGGATAGTCGGAGAACTTGGCATAAGAGAGGCTGAATCTCTCAGAGGGTGGCACGGTGCTGCAGTGGTTAGAGCTTTCGCCTCTCAGCGAGAAGGTTGCAGGTACGGGGCCCGTCTGAGTGGAGTTTCATGCTCTCCTTATGCAATCGTAGGTTTACGTTTTCGTTCCAGCATCCAATTTTGATATATTGACCAAAACGGTCAACCCCTGTGGAGTAGAATGTGGCCTTCAAGAGTCTCAGATGGGCTGGAGATAGGTCTGCTATTATTGGGACCGAGGGCTTCCCTCTCCATTTGATGCACTCAGGACATGTCCTCTGATATTTCTTCACTGCATGTCTCCCTCGTAGAATCCAGTACTGACGCCTGAGCTCAGGGAAGACTCTGTCAGGGCCTGGATGGAGCAGACAATTGTCAGTGTCTCTGATGAGGAGTCTCGTGACTGCATGGCTAGGATCAAGCACAGCAGGGTGGATGTCAGTAGGGCCAGACTTCATGTGCCGAAGTCGACCTCCAACTTGAATAAGGCCAGACTCGGTCTATCTCTGGAACGAGTGAACTCAGCTTGCTGCCAGGGGATACTGGCTTACTGGCCTTTAGGCTCTTGACTTCTTCAGGAAAGTTCTCTGCTTGGTTGGATTTCAGCAGGTGTACTTCACCATGAGGTAGACCCGCAGGAGGGGAGGACAAGTCGGCGGCTGCCCCATGAAGCAACCGATGCGTAGCTTCTACCAGGTCTGCCCAGTTGTTGAACTGTGTTATGTTGGGCAATGAATTGGGGGGATGTATTTGTGTGAGGCCACAGAATATAGTCTGTTTGAGCTCAGAGGGATCTGCTGCATCAGCTAAGTTTTTTTTGTAGTTGTCTCTCTGTGCCACGAAGAAGGGGCATACCTATTTCAGGTGTGGCCTTGAGCAGCGATGCACCTTTAATACGGAGTAGTGGTGTGGCATAGTGTAGTGTGTCTCCCACTTTTGCTCGTTCCGTACGTGTCTCAAGGATGTTGATGGCTTCTTGGTCCAGGCGGGATCAGACTGCTAGTTTCTCGTTTCGAAAGGTGAGGACGTCAAGCTGCCAGAGACGCTCAACATGTTGGTAGTGGTTGGTCTTCTGGTGTTGGTGCGAGGGAAGTGAAATAACAGGTAGTAGTGGAAACCATATTGTCTGGGCCTTAAAGTGCCCAATTGAGACTTGTGTGGATTGCTGTAGGGCTACCCTTTGGACCAAATCTCACTGGCTCTTTTGCAGTGAGCAAGTGTGTGTAATCAGCACCAATTAGTAGCAATGGCTGAACCTCACTGAAGTCTGGGATCGAAAGACCCTGTAGATGGCAGTAACTTTGCTGTAAGGCAGTCGTGGGGTAGGATTGCTCTGCTAAAGCTAGTTGGCCTGATGTATAGGCGTCTTTAATATGGTAGCATTCTGTCGAGTGTGCTAGTAGGGCTACATAAAAGGAAACACCAGCCAGATGAGCGACATCTTGGCGGATGGTGCGTAGAGTGAGGGTCTCCGCTCTACCCTTGGGGCCTAAACGTTGGGCAGCAGCTGATAGTATTATTGTTCGTTCACCCCATCGTCTAGAATGGTGTAGGTCTTCAATGACCTCCGGCTGTGAGTTATTATGATGGGCACTACCTTGAGGTACACCTTTCCTCCTTGCTTGGAGTTGCTGAGTGCAGTTTGGTCACGCGGTGTGATGAGGTAGACACGTGGGTCTGACTTGGCAACATCGTGCAGGACACTCAGATGAATCTCTTGACACTTGCTGCATGGTTTCTTCAAGGTGCAGGCTTCAGGTTGGTGTTTGTTCTACCACAGTTACGACAGTGCTTACTATGTTCAATCCATCTCCTGATTTCATCTGGTGTACACTGTACAATATCAGTACACTGTGACAGATAGTGCTCTGAGCTCTTACAAAAGAGAGATAACTTATTAAACTTTTGTGACTTGGAATCAGAACAGGTTGCCTCTGCAGGTTACCTGTGAGCAGCTTTGGGTTTGTCAGTGCCGTGATAAACAGACACAGATTGTGCTCGGGGCTTGGAAGCCGGAGCGAGTCTTTCTCTCCTGGAGACATGGGGCTCTTCCGGGCGATGGCGCTGTGCCATTTTCACAGAGTCTTTGAGCTTCTGCCTTTACTTTGAGCCAGTTGACGAGGTCTCTGAGGTTGTAGGGGTTGAGTCTACTTGTGTTGAGAAGGCCTTGTATTTGGATGTGCTCTACAAAACTGTCTCTCATGTGCCTGGGCAGCTTACTTAACAGTCTGTCGATATGGCCAGTTGACATGATTTCTGTACCATTGGGCCCTTCTAATGAAGTGAGCGTTCCTACTAGCAGGTCAACACCGAGGGCAAAGCTCTGGAAGCCCTTTGTGTCCCCAGATTTCACATCAGGGGTGTTTAGGATAGCAGCAATCTCAAGCTTCAATCAGGAGCTGCCTGCTGTTATTTTTGGTTGTTGTATGTGTAGTGCAATGTTGTTAGAATTAGCAAAAAATCAATGGCAAAGAAGACAAACTTCACAGTAAAAATATCACTAGTTTAAACAGGACACAGAAAGTTGGACTGAACTTTTAAACAAACGGACTGGACCGCCAAATATTAGGCCTAAAAAAATGAAAATGTACAGTATATCTTGTACTCTGTTAAAAATCACTCGTTCGCAAATGGGTCACTTAAAGTCAGTAATTTTAAAATAACAGATTACAAAATAAAGTGTTTTATTTTGTATTATTTAGTGAGTGCATTATTCATTCCATAGTAATAAAAAAATATACAGTTTTACATCAAAAATGTTCATTTAAACAGAATTCTGAAAAGGGTGTTTTCAATGACTGTAATGAAAACTACACAACTGGAATCGTTTTACATTAGAACGACTCGCAGTCATTTATGCGTATATTCAAGATTTGTTTGGCCTTGACTTTAGTCTTCCAAAGAAGATCTTCGCCACCATCAGTCCACTGAAAACAGAAAACGTTAAATTCAAGGAGTGACTAGGACATCCAAGATGGAAAGGATGGAGAGAGCAGCTTTTTTTACCTCGCTAAAGTCATCAAACCAGCTGGGATGAACTTCCAGGAGCTGAGAAATCTGAGTCCCATCACTACAGCCAAAGTTCCTGCTGTGCCTGAAGAAAAACATAAAACAAACAAAAATAAAATCTTTCTGAGTTGGTGAAAGCTAACAGTGACACGAGCTGACTTTTAGTTTGATGAACCAGCCCTACTCACACAATGAAAGACACACATTCCTGGGATTCTGAGATGCCAGATAAGCTCCGACTGCAGCCGTCAGACCAAACAGGAGTCCTGCCAGCAGAGATGTGATGCTTCCTGGGGAGGGACAGAAGTGACGGGGTGTGTTTTGTTTTCAATACTATAAACACTTTATTTAGTTTTACGTGTTGGGATTTGATAGGACATGATACATTAAATCTAACTAAAGAATTTAGTTGGATTATAATTTAGTTGTGGATCCACAAAAGAATAAGAAGGTGACACTGGAGCCAGGCTTGGGGGGCACTAGGCACATTGGCAGGTGCCTGGTGACAGGGCCTCTAGCCATGGGACCCGGTCGGGCTCTGCCTGAATGAACATGGGTTTACCTTCCTGCGGGGCCACCCTCTACAGGAGGGGCCATGTGGGTCAGGTGCAGTGTGCTGTGAGCAGTCTTGACTATGGCTAACGGGACATCGTCGCTTCGCTGGTGGGGAAGGAGCCTGAACTTGTGTGTGAGAATGAGAGGTACAGATGTAGAGCGATATATGGGGCTGGATATATATTGTTAATTATCAGTTAATTATCAGTTATGAGTTAAGCTCATGAGATATACATGTATTATGCAAATATCCTCGTTGTTTGGGCACCACCTCTCTCTAGGAGAGGAAAAATCAGTCTCTGTTTACCTCAAATCAATGTAAACTTAACGCAAGTTCTTTTCTCGTGTTTAAAGTGCATCGGCCCTTCTCCACAATCCTCCTCAGGGTCCGGTCACCTCTTCTCGTTGTGCAGCGTTTTCTGCCACACTTTTCCCACAGACTTCCCACTGAGGTGCCTTGATACAGCACTCTGGGAACAGCCTATTCGTTCAGCAATTTCTTTCTGTGTCTTACCCTCTTGCTTGAGGGTGTCAATGATGGCCTTCTGGACAGCTGTCAGGTCGGCAGTCTTACCCATGATTGCGGTTTTGCGTAATGAACAAGGCTGGGAGTTTTTAAAAGCCTCAGGAATCTTTTGCAGGTGTTTAGAGTTACGTCGTTGATTCAGATGGTTAGGTTAATAGCTTGTTTAGAGAAACTTTTCATGATATGCTAATTTTTTGGGACAGGCATTTTGGGTTTTCATGAGCTGTATGCCATAATCATCAGTATTAAAACAATTAAAGACCTGAAATATTTCAGTTGGTGTGCAATGAATCTGAAATATATGAAAGTTTCATTTTTATCATTACATTATGGAAAATAATGACCTTTATCACAATATGCTAATTTTTTGAGAAGGACCTGTATATATGGTTGGGTTCACCTCAACACAGCGTGGGTTCTGGGACAAATCTCCTTGAGGGGTTGGACCTCATTCCACTCTGGAGTTGTTCATGGTGAGAGGAGCCTGGCTGGTGTGGGTCTAATTATAGCCCCTTGGTTTGGCGCCTAGGCGTTGGAGGTTTCCCGGTAGATGGGAGAGTAAAAAGGGTAGCTTTCCTGTGCCTTCAGGTAGGTGGGCACACTCTAACTGTTGTTTGTGCCTATGCACCAAACAGAAGTTCGGAGTACCCACCTTCTTCTTAATTGTCTCTGGGTTTTGTTCATGAGTGAGGGAAGAATGGAGTGCAAGAGCGACAGACGCTATGCTGCCAGTCAGACATATTGCAGACTCTGTGCTGGTCCGTTGTGGTGAAGAGCGAGCTGAGCTGCAAGGCAAAGCTCTCTGGTTACCGGTCGGAGAGACTCGGAATAGAGACGCTGCTCGTCCACACTGACGAGCCTGTTGAGGTGGTTAGAGATTCTGGTAGAGACGCCCTCTGAATGCTTCCTTAGGGAGGTTTTCCAGGCATGTCCAACAACCGAAGAGACTACAGGGAAGCCCAAGGACACGCTGGAGAGACTTATCTCTCTGCTGGCCTGGGAACTCCTTGGAGTTCCCCCGCAGTAGAGCTGGCTGTGGAAAGAGATGTCTGGGCGTCCCTGCTCAAACTGCTGGCCCATGACCCGACTCCAGGGCAAATGGAAGAAAATGGATGGATCCATGTACCTATTCTGTTAATTATCCATTTAAAGTGAATTTAAAAAAAAAACATCTGAAGGAAAACAGACAGGGGATTGAACTCAGCATCACAATAAACACAGATTATAAAAATCACGTCTTCTTTAGCTATACAAGTGTTATGGCACGCTGCCAAAGGATACTTTTGCCCATTTGTGTCTGTCAGCGAAATATCTCATGAACCACTGGATGAATGAGAATGAAACTTTAAGGTCTATTAACTTTATTTACTGAAACTAAAACCGATCTTAAAAATGACTCCAACTCAGCCAGTTTTACATCTATTGAGCTAATTCTTATTGTGGTGGCAGTGGGTCATTTACAAAACAGGAAACAACTTTTTAATTCATTTCTACCACTAACAAAACAGTATTCAGTGTTTTATATACTGTAAGCCTCGTAAATGTTTGATTCTATTAGATTAAAACATAAAGTCTGGGTTGTCAGTGGGTCTTACATACCTGCTTTAACAAAACCTAGAACTCCTCCAGCTGACACAAAAAGAGCATAACCGAACCCAGTCCAGTCGACCCCCATGATCACAGACTTCTTCTACGGCTCAAATTTGATTTTCTTGCACTAAACTCGAACCAGATAGAGTGAAACTAAAACCTACTCAAATTCCAGTTTTCAGTATCAAACACTTTATAGAGCTAAAAGAAAAATAACCAGATAACAGAGAACCACAAGAATTACGAAAACATTTTTCCACTTCCGCAATACACCGGAAGTACTTGGTTAAGCAAGTCTACTTTCAAAATAAAAGCGCAGTAAATTTGAGGGTGTACAGTATTTCATAAACTTTTCTACAGTTTTTGGACAAAAGTGGTTTATTATAAAATATCGTTAAAATTTAATTTTTTTGCCTTTTATGTGCAGTGACAAAAATGATTAATAGTATAATTTTAGAAAGAAAAATTTAGCTGTTTTTATTATATATTGTAAACTTGTTTATTATTAACTATCCTTTTGTGACAACCACAAAATGTAGCAGTGTACATGGTAGAATAAGTTGAAATAAACGAATGAATAGAAATATATATATTTTTTTATTGTTTGACAGTCTTTTTTCCACCATCTTTCTTCTTCTTTTTGGGTTTGCTTTCATCCTCCATAACGACCTCTTCTGCGGCAACTCGGACTCTCTTCACGAGCTGCTGAGGTTCTGTGGACAGAGCACAATGACAAATAAAAAATAAAGTGAATAATAGTTATACAGTAGTCCCTCGTTTATTGCGGGGGATACGTACCCTGAAGATCCACAATAAGTGAAAAACCGCAAAGTAGGAATAGTAGTACTAGTAATTTATTATATATTTATTATATATATATATATATATATATATATATATATATATATATATATATATATATATATATATATAGTCATTTTAAACCCTTCCCACACTCTTGCAATATTCTAAACGTTTCTAAACTCTAAACGCTCTAAAATAGCACAGAATCTCTTTTTTTAATAAAATTTTATTCACCAATTTGTGTACATAAAACAAACAGAATGTCATGATTTCAGCTCTCTGCCTCCTCTGCTCTTTGCCACCTGCAAGCGCTCTTGGCCACGCCCACTTCTCCCCTCTGCACGGTGAACAGCTGACCAGCTGCAGCAGGAAGTATATCCTGCAGTGTGGGCTGCACAAATGTGCAGCAGGTGCTAAATAATTTAAAATTATTTATTTACAATAAAAATTCCATGCCGATCATGCGGCTCATCCATCAATCAGCCAATTGTGTGTCATGTCCAATCTTATTCTGAAAAACCACGATAGAGCGAGTCCACGATAAACGAACAGCGAAGTAACGAGGGACTACTGTATTAAACTTGAACACGTTGTGTTTCCAGTTGACCACCTTTAGATGTCGTTGCCTCAGATGTTGGTTCTTCGTCAACCTGCTGCACCGATGAAGGTTTCCACACAGCGAGGCACGTCAGTCGAGCCGTCGTGTTCACTTCCCCCAGAAGAATAGGAGACTCCAGCTCCTGGTTGACAGCACAAATACAATTTCTCCAATTATTTTCTTGAATTTAAACAAACTACTGGTATGTGAATTTGATTTCAGATCCAAGGTGACAAATGTTTCAAGTCGTGCCTCTTTCAGGTGGATTTTCCACATTTTGATGAAACCGTCATTTGAAGCTGTCGCCAACATGCAGTAGTCCCCCATATTCAAACTTTCAACTGCTTTCACTCTGAAACAACAAAAGAAAATTTAAACAATTGCATTTCTTCACCCAACACACCATAAAAAATCTAAATCAAGAAAGGAAAGAATATTTACAATAAAATATGCATGCATGAGAAACAATCCTGCTTAAAATACCTGGTTTCGTGAGCCTTGAACTCACACACCCATTTGGCTTTTTGCACATCACATAACCGCACAGTTTCGTCGTCTCCTGCAACAGCCAGGATGGAGTTCTGAAAGACAAACACCCGTTTAATCTCATATCTCCTACATTAGTTATTCCGGTGTAATTACTAGATATAAACATTTTCAAGCAAATATCCGAGTCTTGGTTTGGGAACTCACATTTAAGAACTTCAGAGAGGAGATCCTCTTGGGATTTGTGACTGTTCCTATCACCGAAGCCGACTCCAGCTTGTAGATATTAATGTTGTCATTTACTGCAACCACAAAATTGTCTCCATCTGGAGACCATTTGACTATATGTGCATCTGTAGATGTAAAAATTAGACCTGGTTAATATCACACCTACAAGATGAACTTTTTAAAAGTCTTGAGCAAAACTTACTCTGTTTGATGTTTTTAATAAAAGCTGATCTTCCATTTGTGAGATTCCAAGTCCTAAAAGAAGTAAATTGTTATTATTACTTATTCTTATTGATCTATAGACAGAACTGACTACTCAGCAAGTTGTGAGATCCACCTCAGAGTTTTGTCCGTCCCAACTGTCAGAGCGAGTTTTCCAGAAGGATGGACAGCGAGTGATGTGATGTGACCTCTGAGAGGTAAAAAAACGAGAATTCATCAACATAAAAAAAAAATAATAAAATAAATTCAGCCCCTTCAGTGTCACAGTGTAAATTTATTGTGCTTACTTGTGAGCTCTGATGGATTTCACACACTCCCACTTCTTTGTGCTCCACACACACAGGAGTCCATCTTCTCCTCCGCTCAGTAAGTGAGATTTGTGAAACTCAAGGCACGTGACGCTGCCTGTGTAGAGATCACGATACAGACGATCAAGTCTTTGCAGAAAGTAAACATTAAGCAAAGTCAATTTATGCATCCTTTTAACTCCAGCAGCTCTGAATAAATCCAAAGTTACTGAATTTAGCATTAATATAAAACCAGAATGGGAGTTAAAACTGGCCCTTCCACCTTCAAATAATCAGAGAACAGAAAAGGCACCTTCATGTTGCAGCAGGGCTCCGTGCTCAGTTCTCTTCTTCATGTTGTACACCTGAATGGTCTCATCTTTGCTTCCTGTGACCACAAACCTCTCACTGGCTGCCACAACTGACACTGTGGCTGTGTGAGCATGATGCGTGAAGTCAGCTTTGACCGTCCACTCCTGTCACAAAAAAATAATTTGCATAATGTGAAGAAACATCCAACAGAAAGAAGAACAAGAAACAACAAAGTTCGTGCTCAAGAAACATTTACAAGAGCAACTAGTGCAAAAAGTGACACATGTCTAAATTAAATAGTAAAAGCTAATGTGCTCTTACACCCATGTAAAGATATTATTTATGTGATCTCCAAACTGTCTTTAGTCATATCTCCTATAACACACTGCTTTACTACAGGAGAAAATTAGACTTTTCAGTAAAACATGAGTACATTTTCACTTTTATCATCATAAATACCAATGTAGGCACATGGCATGTTCATACTTTTACAAAATATAACATGTCAACTCACATTTTCTCCAGGTTTTACTCTGTAACCGAAGGTGATCTGCTCGTAGCAGCCAGCGATGAGCCCCACCACCTCTGCCATGCTGCTGACGCTCAGCTAAGCTAGCTAGTCAGCTAACGTGTTTACCTTATTTCCTTTGCTTTTGTCACAGCTGCACACCCTAACTCAAACTACAGCTGATAAATGTACAAACATACGTCTAACTGCGACAAACAGAGAAGAACAACAAACAAAACGACATGTTAATCCTACTAAAAGGCGAAATGTGTGACAATTTTCAAGAAACTGTGCAAAACAACGTGTGGAACTACTGCGCCTGCGCAGAACTAGATTCTTCCGGTTCGCAGGTTTTCAAAGTAAAGCAAGCAATAGCTCCAGTCATGATCAGTATGAGCAGATTATTAAAAATAGGTTAATAACACTTCTTTTTTTTACTAAAATAGAATTTCATACATTTGATGTAATTCAATTTGTATCCCAAGAAACGTTTTGAAAACTGTTATAATTATTGTTTATATGTGTGAAAAACTGCAATGCCTTATGCACTTTGGGAACGTGTTGTTTTCGGACTTTTTCCGGCTACCATTGTACTTCAGTGACCCTAAAACATTTAATCACTTCTGAGGGGACACAATAGTTTATCAAAATCCTTAAACCTGTTATGAAATGGAAAAAAAAAATCAAATATTTTATTTAAATGTTCAAACACTACTTCTAAATTCCTACATGTATCTCATCAGAGGACACTGTTCGTTCAGAGAATAAGACCCGCCCCTTTGTTGACCGAGGAAGGAGGGGCAAGGCATTTCTGCGCCTTGTGATTGGCTGACATTCATAAAAAACGTGATGATTGACGTGTCAGATAACTCTTCGCGCACCACTCGTTTGTCTACTTTTCTGAGAAGATTTAGGAAGAGTTCCCCCCCGCGGAAGGAAACCATGGCAAGCAGGTAAGTCTCGTACTGTCTGAAAACTCTAAATATAAGTTTTAATGTTTTTTTCTTTTTTTACTCTAGTTTTTAAGGAAGAAGCGCCTTGTACGCGCGAGCGCTGAAGATGGTGTATTGCGATATTTACAGTTGTTTGGGATTAAATGAAGAACAGAGTTACAGTAGGAGTTTTGGCCCCTTCCTGTCATTACAATAAGGGTGTGGTGGCTACTTATTTACACCTTTTTCCTGTTAATATATATATAAGATAAGCTCTTTGGCGGTTTATATCATGTTACAAGAATGCAAAGTAAATAAAAGCACGTGTCATTTAATGATGGAGGTGTGTTTTTTTTTTGCAGAGTAGAAGTTCTTACCCTCTGGGTGCTTTAATTTTCCGTTCTGTCGTTGTTTTGTCTGACAGTAAAACACCACAGAAGGCTTTTATTTAGCTGGATAGTTTTACTTAAGTTATACTTTTTTTAAACAGAGTATTTTATACACATCCTGCACATTTTCCATTAGATTTGTGTTCGACTGACTGCATTATGAGCTGGAAAACTGTGAGTTAGGGGAATTTCAGTCAAGGTTCTGAATGTTTATTAGTAATGTTAAACTAATTGTGTGTCAGAGAGTTGCTTGTGTGTCTGCAGGAGCACGGTGCCTGCAGACCTGATGAACTCCAGCGCTTTAAGCTGGAGAGCATCGGTTGTCTTGACCTCATCTCTGTCTGATAAGAATTATAAAAATGCGCTTCATATGAAAAACATCTTCTCGTATCCAACATTTTTCAGTCAGGTCATCTGGACAGTTTGCATACTTGGATTATTGAGCATGGACTTTGTTGTTTTCAACCAGTTTGACATGACTGTCAACAAGGAAGAGGGCCGGCAATGGAGGAGGGGGCATGCCAAAGAGACCATCTTAGCACCAACATAACTGGTTTGTTCCACTTTGGAGTAAGCTGTTGGGGGAAGAATCAGTTTTGTGTTGTGGGTTTCCTTGACTGATGAAGCCTTCTGGATCGAAGGTGAAACGTTTCAGCACAAAAAAAAGAAACTGTCTAGATGACCTGACTGAAAAATGTTGGATTGTATACCTGGATTATTGAGCATGGACTTTTATCTTCTCGAAGCTTCAGTGTGGCCTATTTGAGTAATGAGAGGATGAAAGGGTAATTAATAAATCCAACACTGTGGGTTGGATTTATTTTTGGGGTTTTTTACAACTACACAAAAACCTATAAATTAAAAACTAGATTTTCTGACGAGCTTTCTGCAAACACTGTTTATCTGAATAAAATAATCAGAAACCCTAAAGGGAGGATTTCCAAACCAGCGCCATGACATATTTGCTCCAGACACCGTCAGAAGAACGAGAAATGTTTCATTATTGTGTAATCTGTGAAAATAAAACCAAACATCCTCTTTTCCAGCAGGAAACGTCACTACTGGAGTAAAATGTTCTGCAAGTTTAAGCATTCAAATAATGACCCAAGAACTTGGTTAAGGATCACAAACAGACCTCAGTTCTTCAAATGGCGAAACCATCGTGGTCTTGTTCTGAGTCTCACCTGTTCCTCATTACACTGTCTTTATGTTCTTCACACACCTGGCCCTTGTTTTTCATCACCACACCTACTTTGTACCTTCACTACTTCCTCAATATATGAAGTATCTGGTGTTTCTTCATCAGACCCTCATGTTTAGGCTCTGCTGGGGTCAGGTTTGTTTACTAGTATTTTATAGATCCATTATGGGGATGGTGCTAGTGATGGATCATTTGGCTCAAATTGTGAAGGAGTGTCTCGGGTCGTTTGGAAGCTGAAAAGTCCATCGCTCTTTGTTGCGTTGAGTCAGCTGATCTGGATCCTGGAGAAGACGGAATCCCTGAAACTTTGTTTTAAATATCATCTTCTTACCTCTGGAGTCTCTTCTGTATTTGGGTCTTTCCTTCCTACCTTCAGAACAAACAGTTTTTCTTTAAACTAGAGAAATCCTCTGAAATATTTAATGTTCTGATGTTTGAAGGGCTTTTTTTTTAATGCTTTATGATCTCTTGAAATGTTTTTTTTTTCCAGTAGCTGAAACTCTTAAAATGGCACAAATGGTGACACATGATTATTAACTCGTGATATTTATATAATCTGAGTCAACACGTGGGTCTTAAGAACAGACAATCTCTTGTTCTGTCTATTGATTTGTTTTTCTTGTATTTTTCAGTCGTCAGGCTAACAAGGAGCTGACTGAAGTGCTGAATCAACTCTGGCGCCTGGACACCAACCGTCTTAAACCAGGAAAAGATTACAGGATCTCACTCCAGGTCAGTGCTGTCACAGAGAAGTGAAATAAATACGCATTTGTCTGGACTCGGAGCTGGTTTACCTGCAGAGGTGCAGTGTGATAACGTTCTCTACAAACCGAGGGAACTGGAGGTCAGAAAATGTTTTCTGGAGAAACAACCGAACCGGAAACGAGTGAAATGCCCCCTCTGGGTTGAGGGAGTCTAGTCAAGTATCCTGCTGTTGTTTAGGCTGGAGCAGGAGAGGTTTGACAGATCAGGGCTCCCTCCTCAGTAATGAGGATGTTGCTTTGGTCAGTCGTGATGTAGAAAGGTCGAGTCGAAAGGGCCCAGGCTCAGATCGGGTAAGGAGCTCCAGAGTAGAGCTGCTGCTCCTTCGCATTGAAAGGAGTCAGTTTCACGACAAAACAAGCGAGCTGTTAACTAGTTCTTTGTTGGTTCTGTTTGTGTGCAGTGTCAACATGCAAGCGTTGTGTGTTTTTCAGGGCAAGGCAGGCCATGTGGCTCAGGGCAGTAACTACGCCAGAGATCGGGCCACCGCTCCTCTCTTCACGCACGTCAACGAAGAGAAACTGAAGAGCATCAAGACGTATGAACGTAAGCAAACAGAGTTTTGCTCGCTACGTTTGTGTCTTCTTTCACTACTTCTGAATACGACGGATTACATTTGGAAAATGCAGATTTCATCAACTTACTGGACAACTATGAGACATCAACAGGTGTGTCAGAGACCGTCACTTCGGAGGAGCTGAAGGAGAACGAGCTCTTTATTGATGCCATCATGGAGACGGAAGTCATGAAGGTACAACTGCTTTATGCACGAGAGAGAGAGAAGTCTCCGAGCACAAAATATAAACAGGAAACAAGTTTAAAACTACTGATTTAGTCAGGATATGGTCTTAAAGATGTTTTTATCATAGTAACAGACTTCATTCATTCAAGAACTTTTTGTTTAAGGAATAAAATTACTTCAATACAATTTTTTACTTCAATTTCTGTATTTCGTGTTTCTATTAGTTGCTTCTTTTACATAATATTAGACACTTCAGATAATGTTGCCGTTTTCTGTTCTGCCTTTATATTTTTTGTGAACATCTGACTAAATGTTTGGTTTTGACTCACAGTGTGCTCACAAATATCTGGTGAAGAAAGGCCAGTCTCCACCAGACCTTGCACAGTTCAAGAAACAGCTGTTCAACATCTGGTTTCGCCTCTACCACAGGGACAGGAATGGAGGGTGGGTGACACTGTAACTGCAGGGGGCGCTGCTTCAAAGCTTTAACCCTGAATCACTGGGAATCACTAAAATAAATAAAAATAAAACATTTACCCTCCCAACAGAAAATCTCCAGAATACAGATGTTTTTTTTTTACCTACAAAAAATTGTAATCATTATAATAACTGACGAGTTTCTTATAACTTTAACAGATGTACATGAATTATAATTTGAACTAGAAAGTTCCTGGAGAAACTTTGATGGGGACTGCCAGGCTGTTGCCACTTTAAATAGTTTGACAGTACTTTGTGTTGGGGTTCACTCTCAGCTACCACTATACCAAATTTCAGCAGAATAGCTCTAAAAATGTCTGAGTTATCATATTTTTTCCCTTTTAGCTAAGGTGGCCATCTTGGATTTTTTTTTATTGGGATTCAGTTTGTGATGCGGAACATTCTCAGCTATAACCTCACCAAATTTCAGCTACATATCTGTAAAAATAGCTGAATTAAAGACATTTAAATGTAGGTTTGGTGGCCATCTGGAAAGTTTAGATTTGAATTCAGTATTTAACTGGCATTGCTCTCAGCTATCAGAATATCAAATTTCAGCAGAATAGCTCTAAAAATGGCAGAGTTATCATATTTTTTTCCCATTTAGCTAAGGCGGCCATCTTGGATATTTGATTTGCATCATGAATGCATAACAACTCGCTCTCAGCAATGAACATAATTTCAGCTGAGAATCTCAAAGAATGACTGAGTTATAGTCAATTTTGTGTTTTTGCTGAGGTAGCTGTGGCAGCCATCTTGAATCAAAAATGGCTGCAAACATTAATCAGTTCTAAATATACATCTGATGATTACTTTCTGTGATTTTCAAACAAGTCCAACTGTGACGTTCTAAGTTTTCTTCAGGAAGCTCTCTACTCTCTAAGTCATGTGACCTCACAGCATTAGAAGTGTTGTCAGGTATTTTGTATGGGAAAAATGGCATCTTCATTTGCAAATTACATCGCCATGGTAACTCGAAATGCCAATAAAAGTAATCGCACACATAACGCCGCCGAGCCGGTCATTTTGATATAACATTTTTGGTGGAACACGTTGCGGTTCGGGCCGCGTTAAAGTTAAGATATAAAGTTAAGACACCCCAAGTCAGGTGGATAATAATAGGTGCTGCCTTAGTCCCTAATCATCACTGGATTTATTTTTAGTTGCCAAGTCGTCAAGCGAAGCTGTAAACTTCTAATGACTAGTGCTTGACAAGTAAAAACACATTAGAACTAAAACTATTGAAGCTCGGGTTGAGGGGGGGCATATAATGACGTATTTCGGTTTTGTTTTAGTGATTATTGTGTTACTTTTCTAGTGAAGACTCTTGTGGATTTGAACACGTTTTCGTCGGGGAGACCAAAAACGGGCAGGAGATCATGGGTCTGCACAACTGGCTGCAGTTCTACCTGCAGGAGAAACACGGACACGTTGACTACAAAGGCTACAAAGCAAGAGATAACAAAGACACGGTAAGACTAAACCGTCCTCATCAGAAGAAGTGTACTCGGGACATTTAACTGAACGTCTCGTCGTTTTTCAAACTTTCTTGTGGCTTTTCTAGCCGGATGAGGACGACCATGTCCTGAACCTGCAGTTCAGTTGGAAAGGTTTGGTGAAGCCGATCGGCAGCTCCTTCATCGGCGTCAGCCCGGAGTTCGAGGTCGCTCTTTACACCATCGTCTTCCTCACGTCCACGGAGAAGATGACGTCTGTGGTGGTGAAGGTGGACGAGTACGTGCTGGAGCTGGTCGTCTATCGGCACGGCCGCTCCATCGGCACGTCCTACCCCAAACTGCTCAGCAGCAACAACAGGGATTTCTAACGCCCGGCGACTGTAGGAGGAACACTTCTTTTTACCAACCCTACTTGTTTTTATTGTTAAAATAAAACGTTTGTTCACAAACTGAATAATTAAATTTAACGGTTTGCCTCTCTTGTAAAAGAAATATGTGAAGATGTTTTGAAACATGTCTGTTTTGAATTTTTACGGGTCATTTTATTTGATATATTACTAAAAACAACGTAGCATCATGTTGGAGGTACTATTATTTAAATAAAGGGCAATCATGACTTTACTGTCTGTAAAATTTATTGGCACGCATGAATGTGAGCACTGACTTGAGAAAATTTTAAGAACGAATGCAAGTTAGTTGTATTTTACATGCCCATTTTATATTTAGGGTCATGGGGCTGGTGCCTAATTTATTTTAACTAAAAGGCACGGTATACAGCTTGACAGTCCTACATGTGGTCTGTTTTATGTTTTATTTAGGATCAGTGTAACCCAACTTCAGGAAGGTATATGTTAAGGGGGGTTGGGGGAACACCCATCCAGCAACAACAAAAAGTGAAAATGAAATTCATGGGTTAAATTTAACATTATTGAGTCTTAACCAAAGTTTATTTACATTTTTGATGATTAAAACGTCTCTTGCACTCTTAAAAAAGATTCATGAAGTCAGGTGTGACTGGTAAAAACAAACCGGGACAAAAAGTGGTATAAAGTGCAATTTATATATATATATATATTTATATATATACACACACACACACACACACACACACACATATATATATATATATACATGTG